CGAGGATGGCCTTGCTGTGGATGAGCGTACTGAAAGGATGATACCTTCCAACAAATAAAATTCACATAAATGTAAATTCAAACCTCTTTTCTCGACATGTTAAACCATGTTCTCTTTGCCTGCTAGAATGAAGGTGGTAATATCCTGAGGACAGAATGTCCAGCTCAAGTAGCCTGAAGTCCAGTCACTGATGTCACCTGATGCTAACCAGCTCTGTGTCTTTCTTGAGATGTAATTTTGTACATAGACCAAGAAAGAATCATTTTCAGGAAGTCAGGTCATCCTTTAAGTGGTAGCACAAAGAGACTTGGGGTAAGAATGTGAAGATGGGTTTTAGTCAAGGCTGTGCCCCTTCATACTGTGCAGTTGGAGCAGGTCACTTAATCAAACCCTCTGTTTCCTTGCTTGGGAAGTGCAAATAATAATACTTGCTCTTCTTATTTTGCAAGATTACTCAACTCAAACAATCAATCCCTTAGCCAACACTACAAACAGTGCTCAATTGTTCACTGATTTATTGCCACATAAGTAGTCCTTCTATTTTTTCCCTCTAAATGCATTTTAGTTCTTTAGCTATTGAAAAAGACAACACCAGATTATTACCCTTCCCAAAATAAAATCACTTCTTGCTAAAAACATTCCCTACTTAGTGCCACTGAAATGGACATTTAAAAATGATTAAAATGTTAAATTTTATGTTATTTTTATTTTACCACACACATACAAGAAGCACTTTCTACTGCCTCATACCAACCCAGAATGTTCTTCTCACTCTCGCACCCCTCTTGGTGTCCCTCAGTGGCCAGCATGTGTTTCACCTTCTCTAGGTGCCTCCCCTGGCCTGTGCCTGTTCACAAGATGTTACTTCCTCCCCTCTCATCAAGGCACCTGCCACCCAGTAGCTATAACAACTGATGACATTGTGCCTCCCAGCAGGATTGCCATCACCAGAATTCAGAGAACAAGACTTCTAACACATTGGCCAACACCATATGTATTTTGTTGGCTGGCTCATTATTTCTCTGTCCACAATGAAGGGAGTGATGTGAAGTTCAGGATTTCCATGAATGTGACTCTTTAGTAGGTGTCATTTGTCACTTAGTGTCTCACAGCATCAATTTTGCTCACTGCATACTTTTGATGTTATGTTCATTTCTATTACTGTCATAAGAAGTTACCACAAGAGCCTGGACAGTGTGGCTCAGGGCTTGAGCCTCGACCCATGCATCAAGAGGTCGCTGGTTCGATTCCTGGTCAGGGCACATGCCCAGGTTGTGGGCTCAATCCCCAGTGTGGGGCATGCAGGAGGCACCCAGTCAATGTTCTCTTTCATCTTTGTTTCTATCCCTCTCTCTCTAAAATCAATAAAGAAAAAAAAAAAGAAGAAGTTACCACAAGAGAGTTACATCAGGGAAATGGCAGAATAAAAAGCCCTAGACCTCATTTCCCCAGAAAGATTCCAACTAAACAACAATATATGGTCAAAAAAGCCTTTATAAGAACTCCAGAAACCACTTTAAAGTCACAGTATCCGAGACAGCCTCAAAGACAAGAATAGATGACTAGAAGAGGGAAAGAAAAGCTGTTTAATTTCAATCCCAATGAAATTTAATTTCAATCCCTGCCTCCCAAACAGCACAGCCTGTTAGGATATGGAGAAAGCACCCAGCATGCAGCTTCTCCCACAGGAGGGAAAGACAAGAGGGGAATATGTGTCCATTGTTCAGCTTTTCAGAGTTCCGTTTATGTCTCTCCTGATTCAGAGCACTGATAGACCAGCATACTTTGGATTCCGCAGGGGACTGTGGAGAACAAAAGAGCACAGTTTGCTTTAGCTCCAGAGACTTTCAGTACCTCAGACAGACAGCAGAGAGAGCAAGAGATCATGAACTTCTAAATAAGAAAGCAGCAGATCAGATTACTGTAGAAGCCCAGAGAAAACACATTCCCAGAAAGGGTTTGACAGGCTCCCAGAATCTCTAGCTGTTCTGATTGGTAAACCCTGTCTTATGCCAGTCTGTAAGGGGTGGGGGGGGGGGTGGGGGGGGCAATGAGGAAACAGGGAAACATGGCTCAATCAAAGGAACAAACTAAATATCCAGAAACTGATTCTAAAAAAAGATCTATGGCCCTGGCCAGTTTGGCTCAGCGGTTAGAGCGGCGGCCTGCGGTCCGGAGAGACCCGGGTTCGGTTCCCGCTAAGGGCACGTACTTCGGTTGCAGTTTGTCCTCGGCCCTGGTTGGTCGTGTGGGTGGCAGCCACTCGATGTGTCCCTTCACGTCGGTTTCTCTCTCTCTCTCCCTTCTTCTCTCTCCCTCCCGCTCTATCTGTACAAAAAATGGAAAAATATCCTCGAGTGAGGATAAAAAAAAAAAAAAGATCTATGAACTGCTTCATAAAGAATTCAAAATACTCATCTTAAAGAAGTTCAATGAATGAAAAGAGAACACAGACAACTAAACAACATCAGGAAAATGATGCAAGAACAAAATAATATCAACGAAGACTTAGAAGCTATAAAAAAGAACCAAACATGAATTTGGGGAAGATGGCAGGGTAGGAAGCACCAGGAAACTGTCTCTGATAGGGTGGGAGGGGGAAATAGAATAATAACTAATCATAACAGGGGTCTAACCATAGTTATAGTTATAAGAAATATTAATCATCCTTTTTCTGCTAACCATAATTGCTTTGTTCTGATTAAAGAAAGAATCATCTGACCTGGCTGGGAGCTGTGTGCCCTCGGAGCCCTGGGAGTTTACCTCAGGAATGTGGTCCATCCTCCTTATCAGAGAGAAAGGGGAAGCTGCCTAACATCATGAAAAGATGAACAGCCTTGTTATCAAAGCAAAGTCTTGGAGGCAACCATTCTTTACATCCCCCAGCCTGCATTGCCCCAGCACCATTCTTTTCCCCTTGCCTGGGAACCCCCACCCCCAGTCTGCATTCTTTCCCTTTGACTATAACAATTTTCATCTTTTTTCTTTTTTCCTTTTTCCTATCTGCACTTCCCCACATAGCTACCAATATAAGTGACTGGTTATCAAGGGAGTTCAGAGCAGATTTTTTACAGGATGACCAGCTGCTTTCCCATACTGCCAGCATTATTGGAATAAACACTCATATAGGATTCAACCTTGTCTCTGCTTAATTGGCTCAAGTAGTGACAGGTGGCCCAGACCCATTCGTTGTCCATTTTCATTTTCTGTTGACCATGAAGAGACTGCAAGTGGGACCCCTCTAGGTTGAGTATCAGGGGTCCCATTGGCTGCCTGGACTGGGGGTTCCCGGGGCTGAAGCCTGGACTCATTTTATTAACAGCACTACCAGGAATTTTGGCTCCAGCAATCCTGGTCATCTCACTGGAGTTGCACTGAGTGCTCTATAACTCTGTAACTGTAACTCTGTGTCTCTGCAATGAGAGGAGAGGCATCTGTTGTTTGTTGCCTCTCATCTGGAGTGAGCCTGATCAGCTCCTGGTTGCAAGTGACCTCTCATGGTCATTGCCTGGTCTTCAAACCTGAGCCTGATCAACTCAGGATCCAGACTCTGCTCTGCTTGGTACAGGGCATTCTGTCTGGCAGTGCAAAGAAAAGGGCACAGTAAGCCACAAACGTTTGTCTGTCTGTTATGTGTGTAAGAACGAGGCGGTGCTGAGTAACCAGAAGAGTGCAGGTTTATTGAGGGAAAGACCTGCCGGGCTACCTCTAAGGAGAAAATACCAACCAGCTTGTCCAGACTAAGGATTTTTAAACTTAGGGCTGGGGTGGGTGGTCGTTCAACCGAGGAGTCGGAGCCGTCCTTGATTGGTTGGGGGCTGGGGTCTCCTAAAACCTGTTTTTGTTGTCGAGCGGCCGTTTGCAGTTTTGGGTGGGTTAGGGTGGTTCCATCATTCCTGACTGGAGTGATGGGTTTTGGTTTCCTGGAATGAGAGGCTTAGGGCAAGGTTAAAACATAAGAGGCTTGGGGCATCAATATGAAAGTAAAAGATTTCAGAGGCTTGGGGCAGTAATATGGAAGTTAGAGCTAACAATGTGCACTTGTAAATATTGTATATTAGGGAGGTTTCTTCTTGTGTAACTTTGCTTAATTTCTTTAGAGATGGGTGCCAGTACCTTGGTCCCAAAGGTAGTCCATTAGAATGAATCTGATCAGCTCCTGGTTACAAACAACCTCTCACGGCCCTTGCCTGGTCTCTGAATCCTTAACCTGATCTGCTCTAGGATGAGACATTGCTCTACTTCAGTGTTTTGTTTTTAATGCAGGGTATTCTGAGGTTTCTGTGGCTGGACAGATAAGGAGCACAGTGTAAAGCTCTTGTCTGTGGGTTGTGCATGCCTGTAAATATTGTACATAACATTGTCTCTGTTGATTGTTGTTTTGTGTCTTTTTGTTGCTTGGTTTAATTTGTTTGAACATGGGAGCATATCCCACTTAGCTGGGGGCCCCAGCTGCTTATGGTGGCCTGAACCCATGACAGCAATTGCAGGAACTTCCCAACAATGCTGAGAGTTCTTTATCTTGGGAACCCTCCTGCTCTCCCTCTCAAGGCATCAGCCACCCAAAACACTTAGCTAATGAAAGAAAACAGGAAAGCTTTCATTTGTCTGTGTGTTCTGTTCTGTTAGAGAGCTCTCTGAAAGTTCTTCTCTGTCTGTAATGTAACTTTGGTTTCTGATATTCTTTGTTTGCTTTCTTGTCTCTTGAGGACTTGGTTTGCTCTTCACTGTTTTATGAACACAGAGAATACTCTGTCTCTAATGTTTGGGCTTTGTGCCAATTAAACCTTGTGAAGGTAATTTGTTATGCAGGTTGGTGTAAGATAAGATTCTAAGGCTAATGTCCCAATTCTCCTTTAGAGTGTACTCATATATTTACTTTAGATGTTGATTTTGTTTCTGTTTTGAAGTGGGTTAAGAATTCTTCTTATATGAAAGATTCCATGTTGTTTTATCATAAGGATTCTACTCAGAAAGAACAATTATGGAAAATAATTTTTTGTTTTTGCACATTCCCAGAGGTACTGCAATACTGGGTCAATGTGTGGAGTGGATGGAGCAAGCTCCTATTCCATCTCCCTGTTCCAAAAATACAGTTAATATACTGTCCTCAGATACAGGACATAGCAAATATTAAACTGATAACAACAGATACTACACTTGATCTTAGCCAGAAGGCCAAGAAGCGATGGAAAATAGATCTTTTTTTTTTTTTTTTTTTTTTGTGGTACATGCCCCTAGTGGGAACTGAACCCAGGACTCTCTGGTCTACAGGCCGATGCTCAACCACTGAGCCAAACTGGGCAGGGTGAAAAATAAATCTTTTAATAGCCTTCTACCCTAAGTCCTTCTTCTAGAGGGCCAGAACTGGATCAATTGTCCCTGGGAAAGCTGCAGAAGCTGCAAGGAGAGGGACCACTCCCCCTCCCTATCTGTAAAGGGAAAATGTGAATCTGGGTGGCTTGGGTCTCAGGAACTGCTGCAGTCTTGAGAGTAAGCCCAGGCCTATCATCTCCACCTGACTTTTCTCCAGCCTCCTAAGGGTTGTCAAAGTCATGTTATCTCTGTTACAAAATTTGCCAAGAAAATGTCTTGGGTAATAATTGACTTTAAAATTTTATAGAGTTGTTAAGACCTAATAAATAAAGGTTATATAACTAAAGGTTAAATAACTAAAATGATAGGGTTTTTTAAGATAATTTTTTAATGCTTTTATTTATTTTATTTTTTTTTAGGGAGAGAGAAATAGAAACATCTATGTGAGAGAGCTACATCGATTGGTTGCCTCCTGCATGCCCCCCACTGGGGATCAAGCCTGTAAACCAAGCATGTGCCCTGACTGGAAATCAAACCAGGACCTCTCAGTCCAATGGACAATACTCAATCCACTGAGCCACACTGGCCAAGCAAATGAAGGGGTTTGGGTAAAGCTTTTCAGTATTAATTATATATACCTAAACCTAGTTTTCCAAAGTCTTTGGTAACATAAAACTTTGGAGTTTTGCTGAGTTAAATAATGAAGACTGTTAAATATCTAGGTATTTTTAAATAACTGGATACTGAAATATTAATTGATCTGAGTTTACTTACTTTTGGCTTCGTATCGCAGAGAAGCTAGAGGATGGATTTAAAGCTGTCAGTGAGTGGCTTATACTTTACTAGAAGTACGTTTCTTAACAATTTGGATGTTTGCCAGTGGAGGAGGCTATGTTTCTAAAAGTTATGAAATATACTTGCCAATCAATGAGATACTGATTGCTTACTTTTTAGTGATCACTAAAAAGATTAAGGTTTTTAAGAGTTAAGAATTTTTTGTTTTAGTAAACATTGATGTGAGAGAGACACATTGATTGGTTGCCTCCAACATGACCCTGACCAGGGCCAGAATCAAACCTGTGTTATAACTCAGTGCCATTGACCCAAACTCCCAGAGGCCTTCACGACAACCAAAGGGGTTGTCAGTTTACTCATTTACTGAAGAACATTCTTCACTAACTAATCCCTAAGTAATCGCTAACCCTGGGGTAATAACTAACCCTTGAGTAATCTTGGGCTGCGCCAGGGATAATCTATTGAAAACATCTTGACCTTTGAGATGTCTGGGAAACTGAGTAACAGGTAATTAACTAACTGCTAAATTCCGCTTCTGTAACATGCTTGCTTACACGTAGCACCCCCCTTACAAAATCCTATAAAAAGGAGCCATTTTAGCTCTCCTGGGCCGCAGTTACTCCTGTGTGGGACATACTGCAGGTGCCTGCGGACTTAGCTCAATAAACTCCTTTTGTTAAACCCCATCTCGGCGTCTGAGTTTGGTCGATCTCCTGGGTTACAACACCTGTAGCCCAGGTACACGCCCTTGACCAGGAATCAAACCCACAACCCTTTGGTCCGAGGGCCGATGCTCTAACTACTGAGCCAAACTGGCTAGCATAAGAGTTAAGAATTTAATTAATTGGAAAGAAGTTGTGTGGTTTTGGTGATAGACAGTATAAGAAATGTAGATAAATTTTGAAAGGAAAAGAAAGAAAGTGAATTGTTCTAAAGCTAGTTATTTCTGAATAGGTAACAAGTTTCATGACAGTTGTGTAAAGGTTTGTGAAGATAAATCTTGAAAAGATATTATGAGTAAACTAAACAATAAATTTAATTAGATAAATGAATCTAAAGTGAACTGGTACAGAATTTATTTGGTTCTTTTCCAAGAGAGAGAGAAACATCGACGTGAGAGGGACATATCGACTGGTTGCCTCCCTCACGACCCCAACCAGGGCTGGGGATGAACCAAAACTGAGGTACATGCCCTTGACTGGAATTGAACCCGAGTCATTGGTCTGTGGGCCAATGCTCTAACCACTGAGCAAAACCGGCCAGAGCACAAAGGTCCTACATATTATTGAAACAGTTATATGTTATGTTAATCAGGTACTTGATTATTTTTTAAATTATCATTTTAATTGTAAGAACTAAAGTTTTGCTAGCTTATGTTTGTGTTTAATATCTTTGCTTGTCACTTTGAATGAATAAATAATTTAGTACTGTTTTATAATAATAATAATCTTTTGGTCAAATATGTTTAACAACCTTCTCAGGGTTTGAATTTTAAGAAACATTTTCTTGACCTAGAATTGGCTTTAGGTCATTCCAATAGGCCTTGGAGTGCCTTAAGGATCTGTTTTCTCCCCTTCTGAAGGAAATATTTTATTCTTAAGGTACATGGGAAGCTTTGTCAAATAAATAAATAATAACTATATTAAAATGGACATTCTAGAGATTATATAAAAATGTCAAAGACTGTACAAAATTCTGATATACTTTTATTTATAAACCTGATTGTTATTCTGGAATGTCATGTTTTACAAAACGTACAGGATTCCATGTCAATTACATTATAATTAAATCTATAACCATGTCATTTTTTTTGTCATTTACAGACAGTCATTGTTTTACTCTGATACATTTACAAAATGTCACATCTTCTGAAAGATTCATGAAAATGACTCTGATTTATTTTAAATTATATATCTCAGAGAATAAATTTTCAGATCATCTCCTTGAACTGGATAAAAAGTACTAAAATTGTACTGGCAAGAAAAACTAGGAGAAACAGAATTTGCTTATGGGACTGAATGAACTAAAAATAATTATAGTTTTGTAATTTTTTTTGTTTTGTTGAAAATATTGTTGATTTTTTAATATTTTTTGTTTTTCAAACATAAAAAAACCTTGTTTTCGGGGGGGTTTGTTTTTGTTTTTGATAATTTGGTGAATTATACTTTTAAAAGCAATATTGAGGCATTTATATTTTTCTCCCTGCCTAATTCCTCCAAAATTTGGAATTTCTTAATAAGTGAATATTATTGTTCTCGTGGCAATATATTTATTTGCATAAATCTAATAAGAATCTGATTTCTTCAAAACAAAACATAAAGCCAGTTTCTAAATGTGTTTTTTTTGTTTTTGTATTTTCTTTATTGATATTAGAGACAGGGAGGAAGGGAGAGATAGAAATATCGATGAGAGAGAACATCGATTTACCACCTCCTGCATGCCCCTCACTGGGGATCGGCCCACAAACTGGGCATGTGCCCTGACTGGGAATCAAACCAGTGACCTCTTGGTGCATGGGTCAATGTTCAACCACTAAGCCACACCAGCCAGGCTAAATGTGGTCTTATTAACCAAGACTTTGACTGGAACATCATGTCCGAAAGAATCATGCCAGGACTCTGGATGTCACCAGAAAGCTTTAAGGAATGAAGATTAGCTTTGAAGCCAATAAAAGCCCCTTGGAGGTATGACCCGGTATCTTGCTTTGTCATGTGGTTCATGGCAGTCCTTCCAGGTAAGGAACAAAGGTTGCTTTCCTGAAAAATAGCAGAAAGGAACCTTAGGACACATTGGGAACCTCAAGGACTTGAGAACATGACCCAAGTCTGCACATACCTTGGGCACTGTCTAATGGCAACTGTGGTTGTGGCTTCTCCACCTTGAGGGGCTGGGTGCTCACTAGAGCTTAATCTATGATTTCTTATAAATAAGTAACATTCCAGCAAAGTAAATTTGAGAAAGCCTATGTGATCAATTTGATCCATTGCTACTCCTGTTGCATTTATGCAAATAGTCAGGCCAAACTAGAACTGGACTTGCCCTGGCTGGTTGGGCTCAGCAGTTAGACCATCAACCTGTGGACTGAAGGGTTGTTGGTTTAATTCCCCATCAAGGGCATGTGCATGAGTTTCAGATTCAATCCTCAGCCTGTTGGGATCATGCGGGAGGCAACCAAACACTGTGTCTCTCTCACATCAATGTTTCTCTCTCTCTCTCTCTCTCTTTCTCTCTCTCTTTCCCTCCCTCCCTCACTCTATCTAAAAAAATCAATGAAAAAATGTCCTCAGATAAGGATTAAAAAAAAAGAACTGGACTTGATACAATCTCTTTGATAATGAAGATAATCTTAGGGAGAAAAAAAATGTGTTACCATGGGAACCATACCACCCAATTGTAGGTATTAAATTCCAATGTAGTTAATTATCTTCAAAGTTTTGTTTTAAGGCTGTGTCTGTGTATAACATACACAACTTAGCACCTGATGACATCACCATAAATGTTCTAACTGCAGACAATCCATTAGATTATTACTGTATGATTTCATTCTGCAGAAGCCTTACATCTGGATATCTTCTCAATTGGTTTATGATTTACTGTATATGTTAACCTTCATGTTTTGTGTTCTTCTGTCTCATAGAATGTATGCCTGTGTCTTTGTTTATCTAATAGCTTACTTACATAGTATAGGCCTCCCTATAGAAGCCACCTGCATCACTGTGTCCTGAAAATAAGACTCAATGATTTGGACTTATGATTGAGTCAATGAAACATCAACCATCTACTGGCTTCACTTAAAACTGCTTTCCCCTTTTTGGCTCCCTCCTCCTTTTGTCAGACAGGGAGAACCTCAAGACTCTGCCTGCCCCCCAGCAGGAACCAACATCTCTTTTCCCAAAAAGGATTCAGAGCCAAAATTCATATGGGGAAATATAATAGGCCAGAAATAATATAGCTCAACAGCAAAACACTTTCCATGTAAAATTAATCTCATCGATATGAGATGATAAAATTAACAGTGGGGAATGATAGGGGCAAGAAGGGGGAAAAGTAGAATAATAACTAATCATAACAGGGGACTA